CCAGTTTAAAATAAACCCTATTTAATTTTTTGTATTAAATAGGGGAACTTGTCGGCAAATAAAACGGTTTCGCAGACCAAACGGATGTCATATCTTTCTTAGTTTATTTGATCGAGCCTCATCCTCAAGTCTTGTGTTTATCCCTCGGGGTAGATACAGGATTTGAGGTAGAGTGATCTTTCATTTAAACTGTGAAAAATATGGCGTCAGTTTGATTTCATATTTTTCTAAAATTATATATACATATATATACGTAAATTAAAAAGTCCTTCCGAAGCGGACGACGGGATTTCGATTCCGGCTGCCGACAGCTTCTTACGGGCGACCCTCAAACATTAACTTTTTCCCCTTTTAAGCGCCGACACTTGAGCGAGCTCAGGCATGGCTCAAGTTTGGCCCATTTAAAATTAATTATATTCAAAATTGGCTCGTGCTTAAAATTGCTTGTGAACAATGTTCGTGTTCAGTTCGAAATTAGATCATTTAAATTAATTAGAAAAATAGATGTAAAGTATTGGATTCGAACTTACACCATTTCTATACAATAAAAATCGCAAAACCACATGAGCACACAAGCTATGATGATTTAAACTTAGATATAAATATATATAATATATTATAATACAAATAATATATATATATAGATATAATTTCTTAATTTTGAGCTAAAACGAGTTGAATATGATCTAACAAAGAGTCATTCATGTTCGAGATGTTTATAATTCGAGCTTAAAAAATTTATTTGTATTCAGCTTGCTTGTTTAATGAACGATTTGAACATAAGCTAGTTAACGAGTCAAACACTAGTTATTGGCAAACAACATGCTTTCTTGACAACCCTATTCATGGTTTTCTAATGGTGAAGATTTGCTTCAATATTCCAATGTCTCTTTGAGATGTCCTTCTTTATTAGGTTCAATAACCACCATTTATTATCTCTAACAAGCATCCATTGTAATATTTGTGTTTTATTCTGAATGTCTTCCTTCCTTTGCACTATGTTACCACAAGTATTAGCTTCCATCCAATAATGAGTAGTTTGACTACCATGCTCTAGAAATTCTCCATCCATCGCTATTAGGAAATCTTTATTTTACAACAATGATATGTGAATTTTTTGCCTCTTTGATTATTAGAAATGAAATACCCAATTCATAAAATTCCTGGTAATGCAAGGTCTAGAGAGGGTTATTATAGATATCTCCATCACTGCATTTACAAATAGCATGTTTCATTACATAAGGTTTCAACCCTAGAATACATTAAAGGCAACTTCACTACTGTTCTAGGACCATCCCGTAAACAAATGTTACCATGAAAGCCTTAGACCCCTATTAATAATGACAAAATATAATTACTTCTTTAAGCAAACATTTTGTTTAAATTTTTAGCCAACATTAAAATCATTAAAATGCCTTAGAACTCTATTCAAAATATCAATATTACTGCTATTATTTTATTTTTATCATCATCATTATTAGTATTGGGAACATTTACATACACATCACATAATTCTATATGTCAAAATATCTCATGCCTAAACTTACATATTTACGTATATAACACTCAAATCTTTAATATAACATCAAAAATATCACTATTATCACTTTTTAAAAGTGAAATGCATCTTTTCATGCATGGGTTTAAAGCACTAATGTGCTATGTATGTAAATATAAAATTTTAGGTGTGAGATATGTAAATACAAAGAATTTCGTACTGTGTATGTAAATTTCACTTATTATTATTATTATTATTATTATTATTATTATTATTATTATTATTATTATTATTATTATTATTATTATTACTATTATTATGTATTCCTTGTTTGATTATAGTCATTACGTATTTATAGACCTGCTAAGAAAGATTGGGAATTGATGTTAGAAAGACAACTAGTCATGAAATTGATGTTAAAAAAAAAACTGGTCAT